CTTCAGTGGAAGAGAATCTCAGCAACTACAAGGTTTGAGTCCTGTGCAAGGACCTGAAATGCGCAAGGTCACGCGTAAGGCTTAAAGCTGGGAGCAGACCGCCAATCCAAAGCTGAAGCACCTAGCCCGAAGCAACCCACAAAGCTGTTTTCTTCAGAAACCTGTGTTCAAGATACAGCCTTCATGCTCCAACTCTTCAACATCCGCTGTTCGTTCATGTATACTACTTCCCTGAAAGATTGAACGCTTTTCTTTCAGCAATAGAAATAGAAGGAAGCGTAGCAATCTGAACCATACATGTACTATGACCGTGACTATGACGCAAAGCTCGCTAAGTCTTATGCAACCCGGAGCATCGCAACACAAATAATCAAGCTTAGCAATGCCTGCAACCCCGTCATCGCACCAAGCCACCCAAACACAAACACTCATGCTACGCATTGCCTCCAATCCTTGTACTACTACACCAAACCTTCCAATCACACACAATCATGCCAAGTATTTTCTATAACCCTGCCAAACACAAAAACTCGTATTCAGTATTGTCTAGAATCTCTTGCCTGTTGCACTAAACCATCCAGACACAAATAGGCATACTGAGTATAGACCACAATCCCATTATTCATTTGCAAGTTTTGCCGGTTACTCTCTTACTATCCGTCCAAACACCCAATAATCACGCCAAGTGTTGCCTCCTAGATTCCCTTTGCTTCTGCACCAAATCATCCAAAACAATCTGCCGTACTAAGCATTGATCATAATCCCATTACTCCAATGCAGGAATTGCTTATCGCCGTCTTTTGCTATCCTATCCGTCCAAACACCAAAAATCATGATAAGTTTTGCCTATAATCTTTTCCACCAAACCATCCAAACACAAACGCTCACACTAGGTATTGATCATAACCCCATACCTCCAACGCAAATATTGCCTATCACTCTGATGCTACCCACCCAAACACAGAATGATTGCGCTAAGTATTGTTCATAGTCCTGTTGCTACCACACCAAACCATCCAAAAGGAATAGCCATACTAAGTATTACCTAATTTGCTTTTGCTACTGCACCAAACTGTCCAAACAACAAACATCACACCAGCCATTGCCTATAACCACTCCAAGCACAAATACGTAGATTGCCCACAATCCGCTTGCTGTTGAATTGCACCAAACCATAGATATTGATTACCATCAGGTTAAAAATCCTTCAATATTCTAAGTTTTTGTGACAACTTCCCTTCAATAGGCATCGTAATGGTTCGTATCAACAGCACCGTCATTTTAACCTGTATCAGTACCTCAAAACGTGTTTTTTCATGTCAAACTGTTTTGAAGTGAAAAGAACCGTCACCAGAATATAGCATTAATTAAAGCCGAAGATCTATTGTTGAGCTCCTAGTACTCTTACACGAGATGCGACGTCACGCTGAAGCAATGCGTCTTCGTATGCAGTGCCATCATCGTCAATCAGGCCCAGTTGCAAGGACATCGAATCCAGCAGGTGGCCACGTCAAGCAAATTATCACCTCGTTGATTGGGCAAGCGAAACTGTATACGATAGTTTTTTTTAATACGAACCACAAGTAATAGTTGTTTATATGGTGGTAGCTACCGCTTGGCTGAGATTCATCTATTGAATAGTTTATCTTTTCTTGAATACTCGTTTGGTCTCTACGGAGTCTGGTGTTCACGTACTCTAACAAGTATGTTTTTCTTCACCCAGAAGTAATATTGAACGCGTACATCACATCGTGTTGCACTTATGTAGCCAACACCTGTGCAAACATTCTCGGAAAGCGTGGGTATTCTTTTGTTACCTAGTCGACATTCAATTAAGCTGAGTTTTGTCCAGCAAATCTGAAATACCTGTTCAATCATAATTGATGGTCATAACTCGAGAATATGGGATCACAAGTAAGTGTCAAATAGCTTGTATGTAGTCTTCGAACTTATCATGCAATCGTATTAACCATTGTCTAGTTAAGGCCAAGTTCGATTTCATTTGTTTTCCCTTCCAAAAATTTAGTTCATCTTATGTCGCTGATGGTTGGCCAAACACGCAAGTACGACATGGTGAACTTGTGTGCAAGCAATATCATGGTGTAGTCGGTGTGGTCGCTAATGAAAACTCTTTGCACATTCTTGCGTTTGTTGTGATAACCGTTTAGTCAAACGAGCCGGTTTATATTCTGTAGCTGAATCATGGTATATCGAAATGTCGACGAAATTCTCGCAAAATACGTTAAATAGACAGTGACGTGACTGAATGTTGAACACACATAGACATAGAGCAGATCTCATCGCAAGGTCAGGATCGCAAGGTCAGGGTGACAATGAGGATATATAGTAACACGCCAAGCTTGTAGGCTACAGAGAAGGGGGGGAAAGATCCCGGTATGCTTGTCGGATGTGCAACGATACTTCACATTATCTTTACGGTGGTGTGAGCAAATCACAAGAAATAAGTTTGACGTTTGTGCCCTTGAATTGAACATGGAACATTGAGGATTCCTGGAACGGTTCGCCGTCAAATCTTCGATGGGTCAATGTTCTAAGCGAGGAACAATATCTTCACTTATCAATGTTCTTTAACCGGAAAATCTCAGGTCTTTGTAATCGTTTGAAATTTAGGTGTTTGGTTTAATCATTTATGACATATCTGCATGTTAATGGCCATAGTGGGTGAGCTGAAATACACTGAATAGCACACAAGTTCAGTGTATATGCTGAGTTACACTGAAGCCGAAGCCATCCCCGATCCAAGCTTACAGTACCAAGCTGGTTCGGAAAGCCTAGAACATAAATCTTTGCGGGGGTGGTGGGGGGAGGCACCATCTTTCTGCATGTCTTTATGTGTTCGTGTATACGTATATGTGTACATACACAAATATACGTTTGAGTATAAAGACATATGTACATATATTATATACTTATATCTGTAAGTGTATGTATATATATATAGAGATACACTTAGAGCTCTCTCTCTCTCTCTGTACACGTATATATATATATACATTTATTTAAATATTTATGCACTCGTATATATGTGTGTATATATATATACACATACATATATATATATATATGTATATATACATCTGTGTAGATTTATACATGCACATGTAGATGTGGAGTTATGTGTAAATGTTTTAAATAATGTATATACAATATACATCTGTGTAGATTTATGCATGCACATGTAGATGTGGAGCTATGTGTATATGTTTTTAATGTATATACATACTCACGCATATATATATATATATGTGTGTGTGTGTCTATATATATAAATATGTATTTACAGGGTTCTGGATCGAGCCGCCCTTAGGAGGCATTGCCAGTTAGCCCCAGTGCCGTGTGCACGACGGAGCCATCAAGCACTCGCCAAACTGGCATCGACGTCAGCGGCTGAAGCGGTCACGGGACCGCCTTCGTGTGCGAAGAGCTCGAGCTGCGGGTGTCAGACCGCCGCTCGCCTCCCTCCTCAGGCTGCAAAGTCATCACTCGCAGCCTTTGTGCCGCGAACTACGCAATATGGGCGGCCAGCGCGGATGGCGTCGTGGTGCCGGAAGTGGAAAGCAGCAGCCTTCCTGGCCGTCGTAGTCTGGTTGGAGATATTGGCGGGGCGCCTGGGAGTCCCCGCGTGGTGCCAAGGACAAGGAGCGACGCTACGATCAGGTGGAGGTGAGGGAAGAGGAGGAAGCTGCACCAAGCGGCTCGGCGCGTTACTGGTTACCTTCAGGCTATACAGAGGTCCCTCACAGCGGCGAAGAAGCAAGACACCCGCTTGAGGAAGATCACGGAGCAAAAGGAGCTCCGACAGAAGCAGTGGGCACAAGTCGAAAAGGACACCATCAGGGCTTTTGCCAAGCAGAAGCAGGCTTACGAAGCCGAGTTGGCCAAGCTGGACCGGGACTACGCGGAGGCGATGGAATGTGGCAATCTTTCTGTTGCACAGGTGAAAGCCATTGTGGTTGGAATGCAAGCTCCTCCCGCACAACGGGAGCTTGCAGAGATGGAAGCCAGCGAGGCCTGGGCAGCCTTTTGGCGACAGACAGGCGAGCCGGCGCCGGGAGCCAGCTTCCTGCAAGAGGTATGGACGCTGTGGCACAAGGAGGCTTGCGCGATGTTCACATGGCCAGCCTGGCCTATTCTATGACAGGCCATGCCGGCACTGGCGCTGCAGCAGCCAGCGGCGGGTCAATGCCTGCTGACGTGGGTGCTGGATGCTTGGGGTCAGGCCCCGCCGCGGCCCCGGCCTTCAAAATAAGCGCGATGGTCGGGCAAGGTGCTCAGTTCGGCGTTCCATATTGGGGCGCTGGAAGACGGGGTTGAGGTCACTGGAGCGGCCTTGGTGGAGGAAGCTTTGCGGGTCCGCTCAGGGCCCTGGCCTGCGCCTGACTCCCTGGATGTGATCCCAAGCCCAATGGAACTGCGCAACGCCCTACCATCCGCGAAGTGCGGGAAAGCGTGCGGCCCCGACGCCCTGCAGCGCTGCGCCAAGGAGGCGCGTCGCCGTGGCTGAATGCATTGACGGCCACCCTCAACAGAGGCACATGGATGGTGCTGCGCGACGATGTGCGGATCGTGCAGACGAGGCGCGGGACCCGCCCAGGGTCTGCTTGGGCAGACCTAACCTTCGCGGTGCTGCTTCGAAGGATTATGCAGCTCCACGATCAGTGTAAGGTCGGGCTGGAGGGCGCTTGCGCAAAGGCGACCATTCCATGGGACAGGCATCGGGATTGGCGTCCCGCCCAGCTACCTGAAGTTTGCATCGAGCTCGATACTTAGTGTGGGCGGGGCAATCGAAGGTAAGCTCAATGTCGGACTGGAAGCAGGGGTCCTTGCCGATGCGTTCGCCAGCCACGTGCTCTCGCTCTCCTTCGGGCCCCGCAAGACAGCAGCCCGCATTAGCCTGCGCGGTCATGGGGCGCGCGGCTCAGCGAGAGCTGTACGCGGCCAAGCCGGAGATCACTGTCTTGCGTGAGACAGGTGGAGCTGCCCAGCTCCCTGTCGTTGATTCCTACAAGCACCTTGGAGTGATTCAGGCTCGGGAAGGCAGCGTCCGACCGGAGCTGCAGCAGGGCGGCTGCGTGGGCGGCAGTTCGGGAAGGCAGGAGCAAGCTCTTCCGCTGTAAGCGCGTGAGTCTGGCCCGGCGCGGGGCATTGCTCAATACCTTGGTACTGAGCAAATTGTTCTTCGGTGCCGGAGCGTGGCCGCCACTCCGCCAAGGGGAACGGCAGCTGATCGCGGGGGTTCTCTTTTCGATGTATTGGTCAACCCTTGGGGTCCAGCACGGTGCCGACCAACATATCTCCGTTGCCACAGCCTGCTCCCTGTTGGGCCTGCCAGATTGTCATACCATCATTAATTATCGTTGACCGTCTTCGCTATGCCAAGCAACTCATTTCGTCTGCCCCGGACGCTGTTTCGGCTGCAATTCGGCAAGACCCTCCCTACTTGGCTTGCCTTCGTGATGCGTTGCAGTGGTTGTACCTTGCGGGTTCGGGCCACCTGTGACCTGCCGGACCCATTGAGGACAGCCAAGCTTGGTGCCGGTTAGTTCTGCACAAGCCTTCGCATTTCCGTGGGCTGGTACAGAGGGCTAGAAGGCCTCGAATTGTGCCGAATCACTTGTTGTGCCGCGTTGCAGGCTTTCCATCGTACCCTTACCGTGCATGGTACTGGCCAGGGAACCGATCCCGATGAGACTGCTGGGGAGAGGTATACCGAGGCTTGTATTCCTTGCCGACGAGGATTCGTTTCCAGAGCAGCTTGGGCGTGCCACTCTTCCAAGCTTCACGGATATAGAATTGCCGCTTCAGTGCTTGCAGGCAGTGCAGGGGATACACTTTGTCGTGCGTGTGGAAAGTGCTTTTCTCGGGCGTCTCGCCTCTGCAGACATCTTTTGCACTCTTCCGACTGTAGGCGGTTCTGGGGGTCTTTTCAGCTTCCGACGGGCGCCGGGACGCCCCAAGTTCATGATTGTATGCCCCCACCTACTTTGGAAGGGCGGGCTTTTGGCGCAGTGTCACGAGGAGTGCGATCCTGCGACCTACAGCCGGGGGCTGCTCGATGCCCCAGAGGCCCTTGAGTGTCCCACAACTGACGGTGTTTGGGGTCTGGTGTCTGATTTCATCGAACCCTTGGATACACCGCGAACAACCCTGCGCATCTGGCAGGATAGAGCGGGGGCTGACCCGCTTGTGACTGATGCCGCGGCTGATGCTATACTGATGCTCGATCCGGAGCTCATCTGCGACACCTTCTGCCGCCCAAAGGAGTCGTCTTCCGTCCCTATCTGTTGTGGTGATTTACCGGGGCTGCTCTCCGCGCCTTTCCCATTCATTTTGACTGGTGAAGTGCGTGTATTCCACCTCGAGGCACCACCTTGCCCTGCATTTTGCTATCCTTTCATCTGAGGCGCTCGACGCCAAACCTCCTATGTAGAGGCTGCATGCGACATGTTAGGGATGATGGTACAGCAGTCTTTGTCTTCGCGAGTTGTACTTAAGGCCGCTCCCAGAAGCCTTGCTTCGATTGAGCCAATTCCAACATGGATGCTCTCGGCTGGGTTTCGCTTATCAGAGGACGGCATTTACAGTCCCGAAGACTAGTTTCACGAATGCATTTTTCTTGCAATAGGCGCGACCAACGGTCTCTCAGCCTTCGGAATTAAGAATATGTATTTACAAGTATACATGCCGACCGACCTACCGACCGACTTACCGACCGACCTACTTGCCTGCCTGCCTGCCTGCCTGCCTGCCTGCCTGCCTGCCTGCCTGCCTGCCTGCCTGCCTACCCACCTACTTACCTGCATATGCATGTACGTACGTCCACACGTACATATGTAAACATATGTTCTCGCGCAAAAGTATGTATGTATGGATATATGTCTGTATTTGTACATATATGTGTATATATGTGTGTCTGTTTATGTATACATGCACTTACTTTTGCATACATATACAAAGCAAAACCTGGGTCCAGTTCGTATTAGGATGAGATCCTTCCCCCTTGCCCGCTTGAAACAAAAGGCCGAACCTGAAGCTCTACACTTTTTCCACGCGATCTCTAAGACCTAACCAGAGGCCTGCTGGGTCCAAGACGCCCAGAAGACTCTCGAGGAGGAGCAGCGCCGCCTTGACGAGGCCTTGAGCGGGTTCAGGGTTTGGGTCCAAGGTCTGCAGAGATGAGTTTAAGACGTGGGACGAGGCTGTTTAGCATTGGAATGAGGTGCTCCAAGTTGCTTCTGCTGTGTATGTGAATGCATGGAAGTCGTAGGGCGTCTCCCGGCTGTCCTTGCAGACATATCAGTACTGCTTATTCCACCACAACAACCAGTACCACCACAACCACTACTACTGCCACTGCGGCTACTACTACTACTACTACTACTACTACGACGACGACTACTACTACTAGCACTACTCAGCCTGCTACTTCTACGACGACTAAGACGCCTTTGACGACTGCTGCACGTGACATTCCATAATTTGTAGGGTAAATTCTGCTGACATTCTAATAATCAAAATGAATGATACCAATCGCCATTGAAACCGTTACCGTTGTTCTGACTAACTTCTTGTACTAGCCGCGGTAACAACAGGATCAGAACTTGGTAAAGTAGGAGCAGCAGCAGTCGTGGTGGTCGTTTTGCGGTGGCAGTGGTCCCAGCCATGGGGCCTTTACCACGTAGCACTACCATATACAATCAAAAGGTAATTGAAAAATCACACAATTTGGATGTTAAGCACTTCCTGGTTCTTTTGCAGCGGTACTCTACTCGTGCTCTACTGAAGACAGCACAGATTTGCATTTAGTAGAGGGACCCGCTTGGGATGGGGGTTCAAAAAAATTAAATTCGGATCAATAAAAAAATTAAATAAGGATCAAAAAAATCAACAAAAAAATAAGCCACCATTTGTGTGACATTCCTGTTTAAAACCTATTGAAAGTCTACAGAAGGAGGCATCAAAAACATAAATATGAGTCCAAAAAGCAGCCCGCAAAACCTCCTGCAATCCTATTGAAAGTCCAGAGAAGGAGGACAAGAAAGAAAGAAAGAAAGGAAGGAAGGAAGGAAGGAAGAACGAGACAAAGACAGAAAGAAAGAGATAAAGAAAGAAAGAAACAAACAAACAAAGAACGACACAAAGACAGAAATAAATAAAGAAAGAACAAAAGAAATAGCAAAAGAAAGAACAAAACAAGAAAAAAAGAAAGAAAGAACACAATAACAAAAGAAATAAATAAAGAAAACAGAAAGAAATAAAGAAACAAAGAACCAAAGACAGAAATGAATAAAGAAACAAATACAGAAATATATAAAGAAAGAACAAAGGAAATAAATCAAGAAATAAAACAAAGAAATAACAAAAGAACAAAAGAAGGAAAGAAAGAAAGAACCAAAGACAGAAAGAAGGAAAGAAACAAAGACAGAAATAAAGACAGAGGCTGGGCCCCCCCCCACCCCCGCTTTTTTTGTTTAAGCTCTGTTTTTTAGGGCCGGGCAGGTTTGCTTCAACGCATACGACTCCCTTCCAAACCCATGCTGCGAGCATTGCGGTTGCAAAGGAGGGGGTTGCGCCTCTCCGCCAACCCCCCCGCTCTTTTTTTGTTAAGCCGGGCGGGCTTGTTTCAAAGCTACGAGTTCCAAACCCAGGCTGCGAGGATTACGTTTGCAAATGGGAGGGGCTGCGCCCCCCACCCCCCCAACCCCCCCGCTCTTTTGTTTTTTAAGCCGGGCGGGCTTGCTTCAAAGCATACGAGTTCCAAACCCAGGCTGCGAGGATTGCGTTTGCAAATGGGGGGGCTGCACCCCCCCCCCAACCCCCCCGCTCTCTTTTTTTGCCGGCAGGTTTTGCTTCAAAGCATACGAGTCCCTTCCAAACCCATGCTGCGAGCATTGTGTTTGTAAATGGGGGGGGGGGCTGGGCCCCCCCCAACCCACGCTCTCTTTTTTTGCCGGCAGGTTTTGCTTCAACCCTGAACCCTCAAAGGTGAGGGAAGCTTGAACCTCAAAAGAAACCCCAAACCGTGAACCTGAAAAGGAAACCCTAAAGCCTAAAAGCTAAGAGAATGCCTAAACCCTAAAAGGAAATCCTCACCCCTAAAAGGCAACCCTGAACCCCTAAACCCTAAAAGGACCCTAAAAGGAAAGTCTAAACCCGAAACCCTAAAACGAAACCCTAAACCCTGAAAGGTAAGAGAAACCCTAAACCCTCAGAGGAAACCTAAACAAACAAAAAGGTGATGGTAAGCTTAAGCCCTAAAAGGAAACCCTAAACCGTAACATGTAAGAGAAACCCTAAAGGGAAACCCTAAACCGCATAGTTTAATTTTTTGATCCCTATTTAATTTTTTTTGATCCTTTCCGCCCCATTTTCCTATGGGTTTTACTACATTATAGTAACTTAATTTTTTTGGATCCTTAATTTTAGTTTTTGTTTTGATCCTGTGGTTTTGATTTTTTATCCTTATGTATTTTTTTGATCCCTCACCCGCTTTAGTAGACAGGCTGCGTTGATACGATCAAAGTCAGCATCGCCCGCCAACATAGTGATATAAATATCGTCATTATGATTGTGGGCATTGCGATCTCAAGACTGCTGGTGAATCAGACAGTAGACCACCAACGATGATGTTGATGTTGATAATGAGAATCATGATCAGAAATTGTCTATTGGTTGTACGATCGTGGAGATGATGGTTCAGCTGCCAACGTGGTACGACTGTGGTAGAATGTGCTGGAGCTATGTGTCACATTGAATCCGTGTTTCCATGGATGGCTCGGAAGGATTTCGCGGAGATGCAAGAAGCACTGAACAGCCGCCTCGACTCCTGTTGGCTGCGGGCTCAGGGGGTTTGGGAATTCGAGTTTAGGCTGGGGAATTGTGCATGTGCTGTGCACATCTGCGTGTAATGTAATATGTCTATGGTGTGTATGCATGTGTACGTATGCGTTTGTACCTGTATGTACCTGTATGTATCTGTATGTCTGTATGTCTGTATGTCTGTATGTCTGTATGTATGTATGTATGTATGTATGTATGTATGTATGTATGTATGAGTGTATGTGTGCATGTATGTATGTATGTATGTATGTATGTATGTATGTATGTATGTATGTGTGTGTGTATGTATGTATGTATGTATGTATGTATGTATGTATGTATGTTTTCGTGTGTGTGTGTGCGCATGTGTCTGTCTAGGTGTAGGTGTAGGCTCAGGTGTAGGTGTAGGTGTATGTACGTGTGTATGCATGTATGTCTGCATGTATGTACGTATGTGGTTGTGTGGGTAGATATGTTTGTTCGTATGTATGTATGCATGCAGGCATGGATGCATGTATGCCCATGCATGTATGCAGGCATGCCTGTATGTAAGTAAGTGTGTGTATGTATGTATGTATGTACGTATGTAGGTAGGTATGTATGTATGTATGTATGTATGTATGTGTGTATGTACGTATGCATGCATGCATGCACGTTCGTACGTATGCAGGCATGTACGCATGCCTACATGCAAGAACGTGGGCATATACATATTTATGTTTGTATGAACGCTGGTGTCTATGTCTGTAACTGTACGTAGGTACGTAGGTACGTACGTGTGTGTGTGTGTGCGTATGTGTGTGTGTGTGCGTGTGTGTCTGTCTGTATACACATGCATAACGACAGAGCGAAAAGAAATAAAGAGAGTGGGAGAGCGAATGTATGTGTGTGTGTGTGCGTGTCTTTCCTGCATATGTATGTATATATATATATATGTGTGTGTGAATATCTACATGTATATGCATTGTAGTGTGCGCGCGTGCGTGCGTGCGTGCGTGCGTGCGTGCGTATACATGCAAGCCGAACCTTATAGGCCAAAGAGCTAAGGCGCAAAGCGGCCGCTGCCAAGGTGAAGACCGAGGCGCTGTCGCTGCCCCAAGTCAACAAAGTGCAGCTTCACGGCTTACGGTCGCCGTTTTGAGTTTCCGGGTTGTGAAGCTTTTAGTTTTCAGGGAAAAGAAGGTTTGGCCGTTTGGGGGTTTGTGGTTTGTAGCTTCATGGTCAAGGTGGACATCTTGTAATATCGCAAATCCTGCGCCTGCCCGCTTCATACCACATCACCCTCGGACCGGTAGACAACATCTGGGACCTTGAGGAGGCTAATCCTTAAGCCCCGCAGTTTTCTCCAAGGCGGGGGAGCCAGCGCCAGCTGAAGTCCGACGTCGCTTTCTCAGTTTCAGCCTTCTGGACTCGGCATCCTGGAAGCCCACGGCACAAGGAGCAGCCTGTACTTCATGTTTGCATTAATACCGCAGGCAGTTGGGTTTAGAGATTTAGGGTCCCCTTCCCGTTGCGGGTCTGGTTCGTCCTCTCTTCATCCAGACGTGCAGACCCCGTCAGCGAGGTTCAGTCATTCGCCCACG